GTCACTGAGCCATGGGCTAGGAATAGTGATGAGCTTAAGGGCTAGCTCACACAGCATTTAATCTATTAGAGGTGGCAGAGGTAAATACACTTAAAGCTATAAATGGTTACAAGAATTAAAGTCTAAGTGTGTTCTGGGTCCAAAGACAGTTGATAAAGTCACCCAGGTAGAGAGTCAGGAAGTCTCTGCAGAGAGGAGAGATTTGCCCCGGCAAGCAGGGGCAAAAGGAGTGACATAAAACAGGAGGGGTTGGGACCTACCTGTTGTGGATGGCCTGCATTCTGCAAACAGTTGGCATGATGGCAGTAAGGAGGATGAGGAGGAAACCCCAAGAGATAAAGGCACAGAGATGGGTGGGGGCCCCAAGGGGGTCACTGAGGCACTCTGGGGTATTTTATTATTATTATTACTATTACTATCTTTAAGTAGATGAACAAAGGGACTTCAATTTAACCAATAGTCATGTTTATGAGTATAATGCATCTTGATCACGGTCACCCTTTCCCTATTTCTCCCATCTTTCCCAATCCCATCCATTCCCTCAAGTCACCTGGCCCTCTTTTCCCACATATACATTGAGTATTATGACTGTATTCGTTCTTCTCTCTATTCACTTGGCCTCCTTGATTTTACCTTCTGGCAACACATTTTACCTACCTGGTATTCATTTTGTTTAACTTTAAGTTTGTTGTTCAGAGGAGTTACACTATGGAAGTCCTCCCTGGTGTATACCATCCTTTAGTTTGTTTCTTGGTGTAGATATGCATATTGCCCTGTATAGGTTTTATATATGTTTATAATTTAGATCTGATTTCTAGGTATGAGAATACATGTCCCTTTGACTCTCGAGACCTAACTTACTTCACTTAATATAATCTTTTACAGGCCCATTATTACCATTCAAATGATTTAATATTATATTTCTTGATGGATGAGTAAAATTCCATCATGTGTTTATATATGTATAGTTACATATGTATCTGAACATATATATGTAAATAAACACACTTGTGTGTGTATCTGTGTGTCTGTGTATATCACATTTTCTTGACCCGTTCATCCACTGAAGGGCATCTGGGCTGTTTCCAAAACTGGGCTCTTGTGAATACTGCAGAAATGAACATGGACAGGGTGGTATAGCTAGATCAAAGGATAGTTCTTTACTTAGTCTTTTGAGGTATCTCCACATTGATTTCCATAGTGGTTGCACTGATTTACAGTAGAAAAAAAGTATTGTGAACAAGTTTGGAAAGATCACATCAGTAGCTGTCTTAGAAGGTGATTTGAATACACCAGACCTCCACAGGGAAACCATTAATGTAAAATACAACCACATGGTTGACAGATTAGGGGAAATGAAATTGTTTCAGGACTTGGGACACAGAGAAGGTAGCATGTCTCTGGGTTGGAATTCTGCTGCCTGGATCTTACTGTCCTTTGCATAGATATATCCAAACAAATGACCAAACACACACACACACACACACACACACACACACACACACTTGGATACTCCAAATGACAAAGTGATGTCAGCATTCCCTAATGCATTAATGACACCACTATCCCACCATTCCCCAAAGCCAGAAATCTACTTCCTCAAAGACAGTTCTAACCAAACTGTCTCTTTCCTCCCCCAACTACTTTCCTGGTCCTCTAATATATCCTAAATTTTTATTTTTTGCTTCTGATCTTGATTTTCTAAGATAGAGTGATTTTTTTTCTCTAAAAATTGCTTCTGTCATCTTTACTTAAAACACTTCATAAACTGGGTACCAATGACTCTTGCCTGTAATCCTAGCTACTCTAGGAGGTATAGATCTGAGGATTAAGATTGAAAGCCAACCCAGGCAGGAAATTGTATGAGACTCTTTTCTCTAATTAACTAGCAAAACACCAGAAGTGGAGAGGTGAGTTCAAGCCCCAGTATCACCACAAAAAAAAAGAAAAGAAAAAGAAAAAAATCAGAACTACTTCACAGTGTTTAGGCTCAAACAAGCACTTCACCAGGCTTCAAATGTCCCTAATGAACTATCCCACAGTTGCTCCTCAAGCCATGTTCATATGGGCCACTCCATCTTAGCTATGCTGCACAGATTGGCTCTGAACAAAGCCCACACAGTTCCCACCACTTGGAGCCTCCAAGCTCCCCTCCCCCTTCATCTGTTTAACTAGAACTACCCAGTGGTAATAAGCCTGTCTCCACTTCCTCCTAAAAATTTTCCTATTGTGATCCCATATCCATGTCCACTATCTCCATCCCCAGCCTACCCAGTGCTGAGGATACTGCTGAACACTTGCTGTTTCACCCCACACTACCCTACCTGTGCCCAGCCCGACCATCTCTAGACAGCAGTTAGTACCAACCTGGTCCCCTAGGTGCCCCCATCACCTAGCTGATTGCTGGCAATGATAATTACCATACTCAGGTAACATGCACAGTGTGAACAAGTCCACAGCTAGACTCCTTGAGTCGAGTGTATCTGATGGGCTGAGGAAGAGAGAGCTACTAGAGAGCAAGTAACAGTCCAGCTGAGAAGCAAGACATACAGATCAAAAGACTGGCATGTGCTTGAATGTGCATGAGTATGCACACACATGCATGTGCATTATGTCTCCATAAATGTGTACATGTGTAGGTATTGCCTGCATGTTCTTGCGTGCATCTTTGTGAGTGGATGCATGAGTGTGTGTGTGTGTGTGTGTGTGTGTGTGTGTGTGTGTGTGTGTGTGTGTGTGTGTGTTAGAATTTCTTTTCAGAAAACCTTAACCATAAATTTGGCTGGCAGAGAAAGTGGATGGTGAGCCGACATTTGGCTACAGAATAAGTATTTATCAAATGAAAGATATAAATAAACAAGCAACTGCATCCACAGAGGAGATTTACCTTCTCAAAATGTAAAACTTACCAAATAAACCCCGCTTTATGTTTCAAAAGAAGACATCCAGCTCGTAGATCACAATGTAACAAGCTATGCAGCACTACAATCTTTACCCTGTGCTACTAGCACTCCATCACTATAAATGTCTCTCTGCAAAGTCAGCAGCCAGAAACCTGCCAGGCAGACAGCCTTGGGCCTCGATCCGCTTACCTAAGTAGCTTTAACTTCCCACTTACTAGTTAATTCCCAGTCACAAGGGGCGTTGGACACACGGGGAAAGGACACTTGAGAGAAATGAAAGCCTTCCATCTTTGGCACACAAATTGCCATCACTAAACACCACTGCACAGGGGTGAGCAGGCCAGCCTCTCCCTCACACACAGGTGTGTCTCCTAAGGCCTGGTCACATGCAAAGTTCCTTTACGTTGCCATGATACTCACTTGACTTACAACCATTTGGAGAATGGCATTCAAGATAGGCTTAAGACATGAAATGACTTTTCAGGAGACGTGTTTTTTATGCCACAAACAATACAGTCAGCATCAATAAGCTCTAATTTTAGAGACATTCATTCCCACCCATTAATCAGTTGACAGCAAACTCAATTTCTGCTTGGCTTCTACTGTTCACGCTCAAGTCTCCAAGGCAATAGACCACATGGTATCCCCAAAATACTAATTGGCTTACCAGGAAAGCAGATTATATTCCTAGAAAATGTGTAGGTAATACAGACATACATATGTAAGACAAATCAGAGCAATACCAACAAAACTGTTTTCTGAAGGAGAGCTGCATTTCTGACCGTGCAAATGACTGTAATCCTCCAATCTACTTAGATGACAAATAATAATTCAGAATAGACCAAAGCTGCTTGGTATAGAAAAGTCATACAAACTTGACATATCCTTCTCTCCAGACAGGGCCTGGAGTTATGGTCTGCCTTTATTCCAGGGGACACTGCAGGGTGGTCCCCTGTATTACAGATTGTAACCATTAATTCCCTGCTAGACATGGTACCCCCCCAAAAAAAATAATGCCCACCAAGTTTCAAACATGCCACTGGGGAAATGTGGTCCTAGCTTCAAGCCTTCAAGTCTCCCAATATTCCAGACAAGAGGAATTGCCCAGGTTGAGGCAATGAGTCAGGGACAGTTCAAGTCTTAAACTTTGATCTCTAGGAAGCCAGTACCACAAAGAACCGAGCAGGAGACAATGACGGAGTTCATGCTGGAATGATCAAATCTGATTTTGAGCTCAGATTCCAATTTGGGGGCAATGCATTCATCAAATGCTTCCTACATAATTATGAGGGTAGCTCGTCCATGAGGCAGTGCCCTTGTTCCATCTGTGTATCCCCCTCCCGGATCTCACTCGGATCCATTCTGCATCCTGGCTCTTCTCCCAGAAGGCAGAGAAGAGGCAGCATCTTGAATCTCAGGCTCCCAGCTGTGCCACCTGCTGGACAAGCCTTCTATGTCACTGGCACCTGAGGCTCCACCCACTCACGCTTTGCCCTCCCCACAGGGGGCCACCCAGTCATAGGAAGGATCTGCTATTTCACAGGAGCAGCAATGGCCTCCCCTTTCTCCTGCCCCACACCGGTAAGACAACTTGGTCAGTGGAGCGTGACTACTCTGCTAGGAAATATGGGAAGTTTCTCTCGTCCCACCTCTCCCATTTTCCTCTTGCTTTTTATTTACTTGGTTGCATTTTTAGCATGAGACATAGAAGAATACATCATGCTAGAAAGAACTGGAGCCTTCTTTCTAACTTTAATATGTCTAAAGAGCTCTCCATGAAATCCAAGGTTGTGCACATTTTTGGTAAACACTTCGTTTCTTTTCCTGGTTATTTAAAATGTCTTTTTTCTTCATAACTCAATAGCAATCTACCTAAAAGATTTTCCTGATATCAACAAAATTTTCTAAACATCACTGAAGGGAGAAATCCAAAAGTTTAAAAAAATCCCTATTACATACTACCAGATCAATTATGGTAAATTTATATTTTTTTTAGTTGGATGGGGGCAAAAACTCTGGAGTTGCACATCTAAAGCAAGTACCTCTGTACCTGTAGGTGTGAGATTAGAACTCTAGCAGGAAGCAGGGCTTGCTTACCCGAATATACGCATCTTGGTGATGTTTGGCGAAGTACAGCATGTTGTCAAGAGCCAGCATCCCAGGAGGAGTCTGGGTGAAGTCCATGGCAGGGTTGACATGATGCTGCAATAAAAATCAAGTACTAGGTGAGGTTAATTCTTCAGCAGACTTTGCCAGTCACAGCAGGGGGGAAGACAGTGGAGGTGCACCTTGCCCACCTCAAGACTGAAGGTTAAGTCCCCAATGACCAACTATGTCAACCTATTGGGATTGGCAGAGGAACTTCTTCAAGCTCTGTGGGCTCAGCTAAATCACTTTTTATAACCCAGGGCTGGAAACCCAGTTAAAGATGGAAACACAGGATCATCCTTAGTCATGTCACATTTCAAGGAAACGAAAATAACACGCAAGTTCAATCTTTGGCAGTTGCATTGAAGTGAAGCCAGTGGCACAGGGCGAGAAATATCTGGGCTGGAGTGACTTTGCATCTATTTCAGGAGCTGACTGAAGGGAGCCATTACTCCCGGATCTGACCCATCCTCAAGCTTATGCATGAAGGTAGGTCTGGCCACGCCTATCCATCGGCTTTGTAAACTGTCTTGGAGACACAGTCCCCAGGCCTCTACAGGCGCTGGGCTCATGTCTGACCTGTGTAGTCTGCTGACACTAGCATGTTTCTGAGGATTGTGTCTGGCATGATGGACTCCACATATGGCCCAATGTTACCAATGTGCCTAACCAAAGAGCAGGCCTGGCTCAGACAAATTTTTGTGTATGCATGACATTAATTGATCAATGAACACTATGACAGCTCTTCAGGCAACAAACAGCTCTCTGCCTGGACACATCAAAACCAGTCACACCAAACACTGCCCTGAAAATGCAGATCTGAACAGTGAATGATTGAGAGGAAGTCATGTTTTCCATTTTTTTTCCTGTTGAACACATGAAAAGAACATCTAAGTGGGGTGCTGTGGTATATTCCTGTAAGCCCAGCATGTGGGAGACTGAGGCAGACGGATGGGGAGCTCCATATCATGACAACCTGTGCCAGCAGAACAAAGGCTGAGGATGTAGCTTAGTGGTAGAAGAGTTTGCCTAGCATGCCCAAGGCACTGGTTCAATTCTCAGTGTTGCACAGAGTCAAAGGCAATTTGCTGTTGAGGACCGTAGGCAGAAATGCTACACATTTTTTCAATTTTATTTTCTTGTACAGATGCTGTACAGAGGGGTTAGTTATATGAGTAAGGCAATGAGTACATTTCTTGTTGAGCATTGTTACCCCCTCCCTTGTTGTTCTCCCACTATCCCTTCCCTCTCCCAACTCCCTCACTCCTCCCCTCCCCCCAAAGTTGTAAAGTTCATTTCCAATATACTGTATTGTGGTTATCATGGTTGCAATGGGTCATCCTGTGTCCTTGTTTCAGTGTTTTATCATATTGGACTTGTACCTAAGTTTGCTGAATTTATCTAGTAGTTCTAACCATTTATTTTGTGACATCATTAGGATTTTCCTATACATAAAAGTGAATCATCTACAAATAACTTGACTTCCTTCTTGACTGTCATTTCTTTCTTTTGTCTAATTGCTCTAACTTGTCATTCTAGCTCTATGCTGAATGGGAGCTGGGGGTGGGGAGGTATTGAATTTCACTACAAAAATAACAGCCATGTGAGATTAAGCATGTGTTAATTAAGTAGATTTAACTATTCCACAATGTTTATTTATTTCAACATATACTATACATGAGAAAATCACACATGATATTTGTCAGTGTAAAAATATTTTTAAACTGTTCAACGATTATTAATGACAACTGCTTTCACCTCACAATCTGGAAAACTTGCATATTTTCATTTTGACTATTACATTTTCAATAATCACTTTGAGTTCTTCTCCCTCCTTTCCTCCCTCCCCACCTCCTTTTCTTTATGCTGGGATAAATTCTAGTCTAACAGCATTTTTTTTCTTATTTGTGTACAGGACGGCCTTCTTATATAAGGTTCAAACCACCCACACTTTGCTATATTGTTAAAGTGTACACCTAAACTATTTTCCTAAAGCTGATTTGAAAACTTGCTTATGAGCTGATAAATGACCGCTCCAGGCTACAGTTCCTGCTTCAAAACCACTCAAGTTCACCACTTCCATCCAGCACCAATGTACTGAGTCAAATATGTTACATTTTAACATTTCCTCCTCAATCATTTATTAAAATGTTGGAAAGTTTTTAGAATACTAAAATACTATGACCAATGAGAGAGAGAAGGAGAGAGAGAGAGAGAGCATAAATCATACGGTGTGTCACATACAGTGTGTCACACTGTGGTTCAGCTGGGTTTGACATGCCTCATTCACTGTGGTGAAGGACCAACTCCTATACTATAGCGGTAACAGGGGAAACAATATCCATTATTGGAAATGGACAACCAGAGAATTCACCACAAGAGCCATTTGTACTTAAATGATCTCCTAGGCAGAGTGATTTAGTAGAGTTTAGAGGAATTTCTCCCATTGTATACACTGGTACTTGGAGGCATGAGATTTTCATGAACCTCAGTGACACAGAAAAGTTGCCTTTCTGAGGGCTTCCATTGCAGAGAACCTGACATGTGTGAAGTCTCAGGATAACGCAGCCACCTGGTCCTCTTGTGGTATCCACATGACTGACGAGGAAACCAAGTTCACCAGCTCCCGGCCCTCCCTACTTGTCTGTGAACAAGTACACAGGACTTCTGTAGACACTGCATTTCAACCATCCATCTCCTGTCCCTACTTTTCCCCTTCCTACCAGTATGACAAGCCAGATGCATTTATTTTATTTTGGCACTGCCAACATTGGACTCTCATAGACCGACAAAAGTTTATTTGACATCAGCTAATCAATACGAGCCATCCCAAAGCACAGGCCAGCCAGTAAAGGAAAGGGCGTCAGACATAAAAGAGAAAACCGTGACATTTATTTCAGACCTACTGCTAGTATCGATTTATCAATGTAATCCCAAAATAAATACACAAGGAAATGAGAGGAGAAAAATTAATTTCTTTGAATCCAATTCCAATAACTCCCTTAAACACTAGGTAGATGAAGATGACCATGTAAAATCCCCATGGCTCAGCCATCATCAAACTTGTTTGAGTTTAGCATTCACAATCCCAGTGAAGATACCTTGCATCAATCACACCCATCCTTGGGCACCTGGGTGATCAAAGAAGTTACAACTGTTCTCCAAAGATCCTTCCAGTTAAAAACCAACATAGCCACAGGACTGTAAACATTCACATACAGCAAGACCAAAGGAGGATATTCTTAGGGGAGAGGAACTCAAAGGCACAATGCCTATGTATATCTGATCATATAAAATCATATTTATCGATGTGACCTCTAGAAAATGGAAACAAGAGGTATTTTGTTGCTTTTTTGTTTTCTTTTCTTTTTGTCTTGTTTCTTCATTTGGGAGGGTAAGTGGAGAGTACAGAAACAGAGGGACAAAAGGTGAACAAATGGGGCAGTGGTACTCACTAGACACTATGTTAAAAATGAACTATACAACCTATGGATGGGGATGGAAGGGAAAAACTGGGAAAGAGCAAAGGAAGGGGTGACAATGTCCAAAAAGAAATGTACTTATCACCTGACCCATGTAACTGTAACCCATCTGTCCATCACCTTTATGGTAACAATTTTCAAAAAGGAGGAAAAAGAAAACCATAGTGCAGTGCCCTAGGATCTGTGGAGAAATGGATCCAGGATCCTGCATACGTTATCAAAATCTCATGATGCTCAAGTGCCTTCTCTATAATAGCAAAGCATCTGCACACATCCTCCACATACTTTACTTTTTATTCTTAATTATCTTTAAGAAGTTGTAGCAAGGGGTTGCAATTCCACCATGTTCTCTACACCTTTGCTAGATTCCCAATGGATGTCCAATATAACATGAGTGCTGTGTAGGTAGCTGTTATCCTGTACAGTTGAAGGAATGAATGATGGCAAGCAAAGAACCTGTACACCTTCAGTCCAGATGGAATTCCTTTCAAATACTTTTCAATCCCTAGCTGGTTGAATCTGTGGTTGAGAAACCCACAGATGCAGAAGGCCCCTTTTAATTGATGTGTAAGGTCCTCATCCTCAAGTTAGTAAGTGGAGCTACTAAAATTGTGTCTATGATGTGG